TGATAAACTAGAAGTTACCTTATCCACAGATTCTGAATCCAATATGTTTTTCCTATGTGGAGGAAATGTAAGCTGTCATTATGTCGCCACCTGAGAAGAGAGAGGATGTGCGTTTGTTTGTCTCTGGTGTCTCGTATTTCCTGTGTAGGTGTAATTATAATATAGCGTCATAATATGCAATGATTGCTGTATGCTGTTTGTACTGAGAGACTGGTTGTTGTTTGTGGTACTTTGCGTATCTCACGTTGTCCCACGAGCACCGCCGGTATCGGCACTGATGCACTTTGGTCTTTTCTGCATGACGCTATTGTCTCAAACTTTTTGTTAAAATAAGACAAAAAACCAAGATGTCTTTGCCTTGGTACTTCAGTATCTTGGAGGTCTTTTGTTGTCACTAAACATCGATACTGCTGTCGGTCCCTTGTATGTAACGGCCACAGTCTGTGCATGAAAAGCGCTTTAATGTTAAAATGTCTTTATCAATGTCACGTATGCACCGTGCTGACAACTCACAATGTGAAGGAAAGCGCTTGAGGGAACACTGTGTAGTAACCACAGATATATATTCTTATTTCTGTTCGTCACTGTCAGGAAGGAAAACTGTATCATCAGCACAAAGAGTATTTCTAAGAAAATCACATCAAATGTTAACAATAAATTATTTCATACTTTGTACTTTTTCTATCTTTGTTTGCTGTATTCTGTTTGTCCGTTATAAAAGCACATCTGACTTCTCGTTTAGACATCAAATCAAACATCAAACCACTTTCTTTGAACGATACAACACAATTCGTAACACCTAAAAAAACATTACAGGTTAAGGCCGTTAAAGCTACTTTGTTATTATTTTAAAAAAGCAAAACACCTGTTGTTGGTAGAGATATGGTGTTTTGTGTCAAAGACAGACGCTTTGTCCCACAGCCATCCGCCCCAACTCCCCCCCCAAACAGAAAACACACGTTAAAGGACGTTATTGAATAAACCAAGTATTAAATGTCAAAGACAACAAATACAAACAATATAATTAATGGATAAAAAACATATATAAATCTACATCCAATAATCCGACATGTGAATTTTGCCATTTCCATAATCCTGTCACATTTTTCACAATAACTCTTCAAGGTCACAGCTGGTTAGTTCCCAAATGGATGAAGGAATATTCTTTATATTCTGTAAAAGGTATCGTGTTGAGAGTTAAGTCCGTTTCATCTCGTCTGTTTTTCATCTGCATGTCATTTTGTATCAGAACTCGCGTTTCTGCTTCTCTTTCTGGATCTTTTCCAAGCCGACAGGGAATCCCTGAATTTCCCCCTCTCTGCAGAGCTGGCAGATCCCTCCTCTCTCTCTCCCTCCTCTCTCCTTCCTCCTCCCTCCCTCCTCTCTCCTCCTTCCCTCCTCTCTCCTTCCTTCCTTCCTCTCTCTCTCCACCTCCCTCCTTCCCTCCCTCCTCTCTCCACCTCCCTCCTTCCCTCCCTCCTCTCTCCTTCCTCTTCCCTCACTCCTCTCTCCTCCCTCACTCCTCTCTCCTTCCTCCTCCCTCCCTCCTCTCTCCTCCTTCCCTCCTCTCTCCTCCTCTCCTCCCTCCTCTCTCCTACCTCCTCTCCTTCCTCCTCCTCATTTGATGTTCTGCATTGCAGTGCCAGCCCTCCTCCCTCCTCCCTCCCCTCCTCTCCTCCTCCTCCAGGTTGATCTCTGCAGCAGTGAACAAACAGCAGGGCTATCCTCTCAGCCTGACACTAAACATGCCTGCACAGCCTCCTTTTCCTCTTCCTCTTCCTCTTCCTCCTCCTCTTCCTCTGCATCTCTGTGTTTTCTTGAAGCCACAGCACCCTCTACAGAGCAGACACACACATCACAGTCCGCTGAAGGATTTATCTTACCTTCAATTTCATTTTTTTTATGAATGAATGAAGAAACACAAACATACTGCGTTTCATTAGGCGTCAGAATCAACAGCCAAGTGCAGAAGAAGCTATATCATCTTGTTTCGGAAAGAAAACTGTAAATAATTTTAAATGATCTTGACTTTTGAAAATACATATATGTCTGTGATATAGTCGTTTAAACCCGTCTCTATTTGTGAACACTGCTCCAGTTTCTGCACCTATCTGCAGATCATGTACTTAAGTCCTGTGCTAAACTTTGTTCTTCTATTATTTTTATTTTACTAACCAAACATGATATTCATTTTTGAATATTATATATTTTAAAATTACACCTTAACAGAATATAGACCATCCTGACGTACAAATATCTCTCAGTTGAGCAACATCATAGTTTGTGTTTTACATATTGAATATTACTACTATTGCCAATACTACTCATATTCCTAGATAATGATTACTTGTGTACATTTGCTTCTGGCACAGGAGGCTGCTTTAACTTCATAAAGCTGATAATACTTATCAAATACTTGACTTTAAGTCAGCGGTTATAAAGGTTTTCTGTATTCTCCCTGCGGAAAAATGTATCTTTCGCCTTCAATATTCATAACTTATTTATTGATTATATTTTATATCAGTCGGCTGAACCTGTAAATTCACAAGTAAGTGAAGTGAACACAATTAATTAGTTAAATCATTTACTAACTAACATATTAGTGGACTACACTAAAGTACAATAGTTTAGTTAATTAGAAGAAAGTGAAAAAAATTAATTCTCTCAAAATTGTACTGTTTCTAAATACCTTACTGAAGATATTTAAACTACAAGTTATTAGTATTGTCACTTTATTGATTCATTATGCTACATCTATAAATAAGTCAAGATTTAAAAAAGAAATAAACAAGAGGGAAGAAAGGTTTGATATTTGGAAACTGAAAGAAGATTGAACTTTCTCAGAGGTTCTTTAAGGAAGCAGAACTTAGTTAGAACAATTGTATATATTATTCAGTGAAAGTGTAGATGAAGCGAAACTTCATCAAACATCTTCCACCATCACCACCACCTTTTTATACCGGTCAGTGCCTGGCGTCATGGCAACAGGTGCAGTCTGCTCCCTGATTGGCTGTGTGTCCTGGGATCACCCGTTGCCGTTCGCAGTGAGAAGTGCTGAGTGGACCCTCCTTTTTTAAAGGCCCCACCCGGCCGCTGCATGGCCTCCTATTATTGAGCAGATTTGTTTTTGCGTCCGGGCTGAAGCTTCTAGTGCGAGAGGAAAAAAGTGCAGCGGGGATCATATATGTGCCTCAGCAGGGACGCCGGGGGCATAACCTAACAAATGTGTGGGGTCAATTGGTAAGGACTGCTTTCTGTTGTGTTCCTGAGGTAGGGAGTGGAGGTAGAGGACTGCTAAGTTGTGAGCCGAGGTGATGGAGAGCGTGGATGTGGATAACATCGGCTGGGACTCCATGTTGAAACTTTTTAAACGTGTTCACTCCATATTTGTTTAGAGCCTCACAGTGAGAACCTGGACTCTTGATGAATTTAAGGCAAGTGGTTTGGTTTGTCGGTGGTGTTAAAGTTTCTCTACGGCTCTGAAAAACAACTTAGTAGTACCTCTATTCTCTGATGTTTGTAATAATAAATGTTAAATGTTATTTAGATTACTTAGTTTTGGGATGAATGGTTCTTTGCCTGCTGATCGGACGGAAGGGACGATTGTGACGTTGCTGATGATGATCTGCCAGCTTTCTGTTAGGTGACTCAGATATTAAGAGTGAGCGCCGCTCGATGTAGCTGCTACAGGCCGGACGGACCAGGACAATGTCAAAGTTACCGGGTTCCTCTGGTTCTAAGGACGTCGGCGAGCGGTCGGTAACAGAAAGAAACAAAGATGGCTGCTGTGGAGGAGGTGGGGTTAGGGTTAAGTAGGGAGAACTGATAGCATAGAGAACTTGACATGACAAGCATCACAGGGTAGAACAGGAAAGTAGGATGTTGGGATTTTTGATGAGAAGGTAAGGTACTGCTTTTATTCAATAGAGAGGATTTCTCAAAAAGGAAACTACCATGGAAAGTGAGGACCAGAATGAAAAGAAAATTCGGAACAAAATAAAGCAAGTCTAACTGTGAAAGGTCAAAAAGAGGTCAACAGGGCGCCAAAGAAACCCAAACCTGAAGAGGATTTAAAGATGGCCGCTCACAAGGAGAAGAAGAAGTCAATTTAAAGTGAAGATGCACAGGAGAAGTTGAGGAGAAGACAAAGCCACTGGAGACAATCATGAGGATTAGGAACAGGATGAGGGCGAAAGGGGGGGGTCAGGGTGGGGGGGTTGGCAGGGTCAGCTACACAAACCATTTGTCCCTCGGTACATTTAACATCGAGCCCCGCAGGCGACAACAATGGCGTCAGCAAGGCCGCTCCGCGTCTACACGTTGCTAGATTTCTCTCTGGCTGGGTGCAGTGTGCTCGAACAGCACAAAGGTTTATCGTGCTCAGCAAGTCTCAGCTCGTATAAAAACACAAAGGTCGCAGCTGCTGCAGCGGCCGGCTTTTTAGAAAAAGGGCTGTTTGTGGAGAATGTGACGTTTCTGAAGGAGGCTGAACGCTTTTGCTATGGTGCTTCGGTGAGGAGAGTTACTGGTTGAGGTACTGTCCTGCTTTCTAATCCGGGCTCATCGGAAAAAAGAGCGTGTGGAGGTGGTGTGATTGGTCGGGTGGATCTTCGGTCATATGGCGTGGAATCCCGGAGTTAAAAGATGACAGATGTTGTGACGCGAACAGAACGTCACGTCTACGATTTAATTTAGTATTACGTTTGTAAATGTAAATATCAGCATTTCCTGTAGTCGCTCTGGCTTTTTAATAATAAATAATTGGTGGTACCAGATTTGTTCCTTTTCTTTGTTTAAATAAAATCTCTCTAAGGGTATTTTGAGAGCGAAATGCCTCTTGCAAGGCCAAAAGTATTTTTTGTATTCGGCCCATGATCTGGATCTGCTCCAAAAGTCATGGGTTCTTTAGTTTCCCTTCCACAAGGTTTGAAGTACATCTCATCGGTGTTTTTTCCGTAATCCTGCTGACAAACAAACCAAACAGAAAAGATGGTTCACCTTTGTTTTTCTCCTCCCTAATTCCTAACTGTCCGTGCACAAAAAGCAACAACAGGAAACGCTGAAGTTTTCAAAAATCTCCGTCCGGCGGCTTGGCCTAATATATTGGTTGTTTCTGCTTTCACTCATTTAGTTCAAAACATGTATTTTCTTCTGTCAGATTCAGTGAACAGATTTAGGCAGCTGGGGGAGTTTGTTGATGTCCGTTGGCTCGACTGGCAGCAGAGATTATGTGGTTGCTCAAATATCAGCTTTGATGTTGTTTGTTTTGTTAAGAAGCACAAGGCATTGATTCTGTAATGTGAAAATTCACATAAAACTGTGAATGTAGACTTTAGACTATACACTTACATTGAGGTTTTAGTTCTTTGCTAGACTGCATGTGTGCTAAAAGTAATTATATGAAGTTAATGATTCAATGTTCGCCATAGTCTTAGTTTAGCCTCTTTGCAAGCTAACTTTAGCTCATTAGCAAAAACGACAAAGTCTAGCTCGGCTAATTTCATCAGTTCTTTAGGTACTTGGTCATAAACTAAAGTATTCGAAAAATATAAATGTTGAAAGGGCGACAAGAAAAGTCAACAGATCTTGTCAGGGACAGTAAACGTCACCAGTCTGTCTTTAGTTTAGCTGACGGGACGTGAAGCAACAACTGCAGCCAGTAGCGTAACGTTAGCTTTTACTTGTCTTTTACTTGTTTTTATTTTTTATTCAACACAGTCTCACGGCATTTCGTGTTATAGTCACAACAATTAATCTATTGATTCGTGTTCGCCAACACGATTCCCCCATTTTCTTCGTGTCACACAGAACGATTTTAAAAGTAATGTAAATAATAACAAATTAGAAGGAAAAATAGATTTTTTAAAAATACAGATTTCAGTATTCTGACACAGACATTTTTAGAAGCAATGTATTTCTATTGGTAGTATGTTTCGTGCCTGCACCAAATAATAACAAATTAGAAGGATTTTTTTTTTATTTTTTTTTTTTATAAAATACAGATTTCAGTATTCTGAGGCTCTGAGCCCCATTTCTTTTCCTCGCGGACGGCAAAAAAACTCAGACATTATACAATTTAAAATAAAAGGGATAGGGTTAGGCTTAGGGTAAGATATTGAGTAAGAAAATGTTTTTATGAACCACACAGCTTCTGGTATTCCAAGACCCGACCGGACAAAAAGACGTGGTGCAGGCACGAAACATACTACCAATAGAAATACATTGCTTTTAAAATCGTTCTGTGTGACACGAAAAAAATGCGAAAATCATGTTGGTGACACGAATCAATAGATGAAATTAATTTCGTGACTATAACACGAAATGCCGTGAGACTGGGTTGGGCCATTGCATTTACCCTTCAAAGATCAGAAGTAGTGTTAACTTGCAAGGTTTCTCTTTCAATACTTAATTCATAAATGTATCCACAGAGCTCATTTTTGCAATAATCCAATATGCAAAAGAAAAATCCTATTGGCTTTTGTTTTAGGGATCCAGCGTGATGCTAACTTCCCGGTTGGCCTACGAAATTATGTTACCCCTGCACCACTCTGTTATCTGTATGGTGAATAGCTAGTACACAGAGAGCATTAAACCCTGCTGGTTCTGTGGATGTCCCGGCTTTACAGGATTTCTGTTGTTCATACAGGTTTCCCAAGGGGACGCTACTGAGAAGCTGGCTCACCAAGTCGCGGCCCAGGTTGCTGCTGCTCATCGCAGGGTTGAAGAGGCCTCAGGTGACCCTCATGAGGAGGAAAAGGATGAAGCGCACAAAAGTAGCAAAGGCCACGTAAGCGGTAAATATGGCTTATGTTGCATGGAGGAATGCTGAACCCCATCATCAACACAAACCCAGGAAGTCGATAGCGTTAACTGAAGCAGCGACCTTAGAAGTTCACTCTGTCACCTTTGAGTCTCTTAAAGTGTTCATCTTACCTGAGGCTTTACAAAAGCTCAATAATGAGGGAAAAAGTTTGGATTTAGGCGACAGGTCATAAGCATAGAACAAGCTCAGTTTACAAAAACACCCGTGTACGTGGAAATGTATTTGAAAGAAGATGGTCCTATGAGTCAATCCTAACTAGAGTGATGTTAATGGGTTGTTATTGATGCAGAGAGGACATTGCTTAAGTATATAGGAATGAAATATCTGCTGGTAATGGCATACATATTTTTGGTAGGCAGTACACAGAACGTTAAAACAAGACATATACACAGCCCTAAGGTAGACTTCTAGGTACTGCTTTCATTTAGATTCAGTCCATAACAACTGTTGAACTAGTTGTGTCTTATATTCAGGCTAGTCTTAGATGATGGGTTTAACTAGCCTAATAATGACCTGAAACATGAGACAGGATGCATTGACCAACACCAAATGTTAACAGTGTTCTAGTTGCCTAAGCATAACCTCACACCACACTCAGCTAGAAGAGTTAAGATTTAATTTTTAAAATGCATTATTTTTCGTAGTTTTCATGGGGTTTTGTGTTCAGCTTGTGGTTGCTAAGAAAGATGTTCAGCTCTGAAATCATGAACATTTTCCCAAAGAAGTTAATCTTTTTCCATACATCTTTTTCTCCGTCTGCTTCTTTTCTCATCTCAGTAAAAGTAAACAAAGAAAACAGTCTAAGTGAAAAGACTAACCTCTTTGTGGTCCATCAAAAACCCAACGTTCCCTCTCTTCCAGAACCTGCAGTCGGATGCCGCACTTCACTTGAGACCTTTGAGGGGAGGGTCTGCTCGTTAGATATGGAAGACAAAGAAGAGGGAGACCTGTGTGTTGGATCTTTGCCCCAGCAACAAACTATAATCCAGGGATCACAAAACAGGGTGAAGCAAGAGGACGAACCACAGAGATTGAGACCCCCAGATTAATCCGGATTACACCCACAACCTGGACTACAACTTCACCCCCTATTCAAATATGCACCTGTTTTGGCTCATTAGACTCTAATGACTGTAGCTTGTACTTCATTCCTATCCAAAGACAAACTGTCCCTGTGTTTTTAGTTCAGCCTGTTTCAGCTTTCCAGCTCCGTGTGTTTTAGTCTCAGAAAAGTCAAAACCTGCTGCTGATTGAAGTCTGACGAGACGCTCACTGCTGCCTCACATTCTTCGGTCAGATAATAATTTAACAAGTAGCTTTAACTATGGATGTTTGATGGGAACTGGATACGGCGCTGTCGCTCAACCTTGCTTCCAATTATTCCCACCGGCCACTTGTGGTGTTGAAAGGACACCTTGCTTTGCAAACAAGGTCTTTCTCTTGTGGATTTTTCAATGCATGGAGGTTTTATATTTCTGTATCAAGCCGAAAGAAGCAATTTTAAAATCTTCAATGTAAAGTCTCCGGGAAGACCAAGAACTTGCGGGTAGTGACAGCGGGACCACATTTCACAAAAGTAAACTCAGAAGCTATAAAAACTATTTTGGCGTATGTGCCATGCAAAATGCCTTCGCTTATCCAGTTCTTATATATCTATTACCTTCAAACAATACGAAAGCATCACATGACATACACCACAAAATGTGGATGTTTTATCGTTCAACTGTTGCCGGTATTAACATTTGTAATGCAGAAATTCAGACACTGTAATGAGAATTTAAGGTTGCTAATCGCACCAATCACGATTTAAAAAAAAACTGAAAAAAGTGGGTTAATTTGATTTGCTGTTGTTGCTGGACCTCCACTCGAGGAACGTTAATTGACTTATAAGACACATGTGCAAACTGGAGCTTCTGGGTATTAGACAAACTTAATGTGTTTTTCTTTTCATTTTATTTTTCATAAAGTTGGTAGAATACGTTTTGGAACGAACCGCTTATTTTGTGTGCGTTTGTCAGTACATTGTGAAACCAGCTTCATGTGGGAGGTTTGAACCTCGCTTTGCCAAATAGATAATATTTTCTTAGCAGCCTCAGGAAATGGAATTTTCAGCAGCTACCAATGTTGGGAAATTGAAATGGCATCCAGCCAAAAATGTCCTTTTACTAGTATTTGACAGAGAGTTGTGTTGGTTGAGAGAGGTCCTAGTTAATCACCATGTCAGATACTGGAACGTCATCAATGGGAACATCTTTAGAAAGAACTGGGGCTTAATGGTGTGCTTAAAACTAGTTTGATTTATTTGAAGCATTTAATAAAATGGAAATGCATTTTTCTTTTGACCAAGTCAAGCCTTCAGTCTCATTCTGTTCAACACCACCTGAGTGTTTCAATGAATTGCCACATTTTGGGGTTTTACAATCAGCTAACTGTCAACTTTTCTGGTGTTAATGTGCTACTACTGGGACTGAGTGTATGTGACCAGTGAGAAAGGCAATCCTTCAAATTCAACTGTCTCCAGATCGCCACTCTTGAGGTGTTCGTCTAGTGTTGTCATGGTAGCTGTATGGCAGTCATATGGTAGAAGTAATACTCACTTGGCTTTTGATTCACAAACTAATAAAACACATTCATCATGTTGAGCTGAAGCAGTAAAAGCAAACATCTCAGCTTATCTGATGAATCTCTATTTCAGGCTTTTTAAATCCTTAACTTCCATCAAAGCGAACCGTGTCTTTGTTAACCATTTCGACCTGCTGTAAAAAAAAGTGTTTTTCAAAAATTAAACTACAGACTTAATTTGAAGTGTCTCTGAATATTTGTATTGGTTTAGGATGGATAAAATAAAGATCCACCAGCACATTCAGAAGGTTCTGGATATCATGACAATTGGGTGTTGAAAAGTCATAGCATGATGAAAATGTCATGAAAAAGTTATAGTATAATATTAACTGATATATATATATATATATATATAACATGAAGTGACCTAATTAAAAGGATTTGTTTACTAAAATAAAGAAACATGATTGTACCTATAACCAATGTTAATGCACCGACTCAGTCATAACAGTATAAGGCACGGGTACTGCAGTAAACTCAGGGCTGGCATGTTAGAATAGGAGTCACTTATTGTTAATAAAATACATGTTTTTTATCAAAATCCACAGAAATCACGTTAGACTTTTGTTCGTAGAGAAATCCTCCACCTGATTGGCTGATCTGACTCGTGACGCAGATGATGTAGTGACTGTGCTTTCATGAGGAAAAAAACAATGCATCTGTGAAAATTAACTTCTCTATTTATTAATTACATTTCACAATTAAATAAATTAACTTCATTTACAGTATATTACAAACAACATTTTCTTCATACATGATGGCATTTTAAATTAAACCATTGTCAGAGTCCTTGTGTTTTTAGGAGAGTGAACACCATCAGCTTCTACTTTGCGGTGAGTTTCTGTTGAATGTTTCTGTATCTCAGAAGCTCCTCCTCGGAAACTGACGGCTTGAAGTTATCCAACGCTGAAGAGAAATCCTCAACGGTGACGAGGACAGGAGATTCCTCCGAGTCCAGACCTGAGAGACAGGAGAGACAGGGACATTACAAGCCAAGACAAACTGTGGTGCTTTATGACAACCACACACAGGACTGATGCTTAGAAAACGTTTAAGTCCACTTCCTGTTGGACGTGGGTTTTTAGTTCAGTGTATTTTGTAAATTGTGTAATTTGTTATTTGATTTATTTCAAATGTGTAAAACAATAATTTAAAAAAATGGTAATGAAATTTAACATGAGAATTATGATATGAATACAAAATTAAGCAGTGTCAAATTGACATACAAAAATATTACTAATTTTAAATTATATATAAACAAATTATTTACTTAATTACACATATCCGAAAATATTTTAAATGTTGTATCTTCATAATTTTTTAATACATGCTTCCTAAAGGTGGGGTAGGTAATTCACTTCAGAAACACTTTTTGTTATATTCCATGGAACGCTCTTAACATCCAGATAGCAATGAATATATTAAATGCTTTGACAATAAATCCATTAAAAATGTCATCTGTGGAAGCCGTGGTGCTGTAAAAAGCACGACCAATCATCTGAGCCGGCCCGGCTAAAATAACTGGATGGCCTACCTGCCTGTCAGCCTTCCATCTGTGCACAAACTTACCTCGTGCCCTCATTGGTCATGTGCGCGTTCGTGTGTGTTGGAGGAGGGGCTCTGTGAGGAAGTCTGAAGGAAGGGGCAGAATCTTTTCGGTTGCGTATTTTCAAATTCTAGCGCACTCGAGCTGGTTTCTCCATTATTACCTACCCCACCTTTAAGTAATATTAAGCTGTATTTTCTTGCTGTAGCAAACACAAAGTTCCCCTCTGTGGGACGAATAAAGGTATTCTGATTTTCTCACCCTCATCGATGAGAGAGATCTTCCTCTTGATGGCGGCCGTCATGGCGTCTGAACACAGAGCGTACAGGTCGGCGCCGGTCATGTGATCCGGGCAGCGATCCACCACCTGCTGCAGGTCCACCGCAGAGTCCACCTGGAACCTGAACACAACATTCATTCATTTATGTGGAACACAAAATCTTCCAAAACATCCACATAGTTGATTCAAAGGTCTTAATGTCATGTGTACATAAGCTACAGTGTATAATGGCAATGGAAATCTTATGACCCGAGCTCCTCCAACGATGCAACATATCTCAAAT